TAGATGTTCCAGAAGAGAACACGGAGGAATTCGCTCAGTACCGGAAGGTAGAGTCTATGGTAATCTCGTGGCTTCTCAATTCTATCTCTAAGGATATTGTTGAAGCATTTATGTATGTAAAAACTGCTAAACAACTATGGGATGAGCTAGCTGAGAGGTATGGTGAGAGTAATGGCCCTCTCAAATATCAACTATTGAAAGAAATTGCTAATTTCAATCAAGGACCTCTTTCGGTTACTGCATATTATACCAAATTAAAATGCTTATGGGATGAGTACTCTTGTCTTGTGTCCCTGCCTGAGTGTGTATGTGCTTCAGGAAAGGCTATATCAGACAATGATATGGAAATTAAGCTCATGCAATTCTTGATGGGCTTAAATGAGGTATTTGAACCAGTCAAAAATCAAATTCTGTTGCTAGATCCACTTCCCACCATCAATAGGGCATATTCGATGATACTAAAAGTTGAGAAACAGAAGAATGTTGGAACTGGAATCTTCAATCAGTTCGAGAATGCAGCTATGATGGCTAGAGATAATTATGGAAGAGGAAATGGTCGAGGTCGAGGTTTTGGTGGTGGTGGAGGAAGAGGGTTCTCTGGACAGAGCTATAATAGTGGAGGAAATGGAAGAGGAGGGAAGAGACTTACCAAGCAAGAAAGAGCTAAATTGTTCTGTACTCATTGTGGATTTAGTGGACATGAGATTGGTGGTTGTTTCAAACTGAACGGGTATCCCGATTGGTACAAAGAACTAAAAGGACAAAGGCAGGCTCAAGGTGTTAATATGGCTGAAAGTGAGGATTCATCAAAGGGAGATTCAGAAATTAAGTCACAGCATAGTGACTCACTGCCAGATATAAGTGCTCTTATTCAGAAGGAAGTTGCTAAATATCTTGCAGCACAACAGGAGGCAGAGACACATGGGTTTTCACATTTTGTTGAACATACTGATGAGCAGGAAAACTATGTATTTTCTCTGGCCAGTAAACTTGGAAGAGGGAGATGGATAGTAGATACGGGAGCCAGTAGACATATATGTTATGATGCTAGCATGGCATGCGATATTTCAGAAATGCAAAAACCTATGTTGGTTAATCTTCCTAATGGGGCCAGTATACAGGTTACAAAGGTTGGGTCCATCAAACTGAATGCACAGATATGTCTTGAGGATGTGCTCTTCATACCTGAATTCAGGTACAATCTATTGTCAGTGGGACAGCTGGTAGAACAAAATGGATTGAGTTTTACCTTTACCAATGAAGGATGTGAGCTAAGAGATTTGAATAGAAATGAGGTGGTGGCCAAAGGAAAAGGAATTGGAGGGTTATATGTGATAGGAGGGGAAGATTTTTGTGCTCATACAGTTGCAAGTGACTTGAGAACTGAAGACCAGGAACTGAAGTTATGGCACATGAGACTCGGTCACAGCTCCATTGTCTGCCTAAAACATTTGAACTTCCTAAAGAACAAGAGTTTGAGCCAAGAGTTTGGTGTGTGTGATGCTTGCCACAGATCTAAACAGCCTAGGTTTGCATTTCCTCACAGTCACATACAAAGCAAAAATAAATTTGATTTGATACATGTTGATGTTTGGGGGCCACATCATGAAGAATCTTTGACTAATACATCTTACATGTTAACTATTGTGGATGATCTAACAAGATCGACATGGATTTACTTGATGAAATACAAATCAGAAACATGTGGCCACATTAAAACCTTCCTCAGAATGGTGGACACTCAATTTGGAGTCAAGGTTAAAAGGATGCGAACTGACAATGGGGGTGAATTTGTTAATGTTGAGATGAGTACTCTCCTCAGAGAGAATGGTGTGTTGCATCAAAAGACTTGTCCATATACCCCACAGCAAAATGGGGTGGTGGAAAGGAAGCATAGATCTATTCTTCAGGTAGCAAGAGCTTTATTTTTCCATTCTAAATTGCAGAAGAATCTATAGCCGTACACATTACTAGCAGCAGTTCAGATTATTAATACATTGCCGAGTGAGAGGCTTGGATGGAAATGTCCTTATGAACTGTTATATGGCACAAGTCCTCCATACCATCTGTTCAAAATTTTCGGGTGCCTATGCTATGCAAAGAAGAATATGCCACAGATAAAGAAGTTTGATCAAAGAGCTGTACCTTGTGTGTTTCTTGGCTTCATTTCAGGAGTAAAGGGCTATAGGTTGTATGATATTGAGGGGCAAAATGTTTTTGTATCTCGAGATGTGGTATTCTATGAAGACCAGTTCTCTTTTTCCACAGGATTCAAGAGAGCAGAAAATTTATGTCCTGATGTTCCTCTTCCAGTTATTACAGAAGAGCCATCACCTGATATGGTTTCAGTGGATCATAGTTCAAATTATCCTCCTCCGAGTCATTTGTCGGATAATGAATCTCTTGATGAATTTAATGAAGTGAGAAAGGGGACTCGAGCTAGAAGGGCACCAGTATGGATGAAGGATTATGTAGCCACCACCTTGAGTTTGCCAAAGGAAGTTGAAGATGCATCTTTGTTCTTTTCTGAATTGGACAAAAGTATTTCTGAGCCTTTGTTTTATGAGCAGGCTATCAAGGACAAGAGATGGATAGAGGCAATGCATAAAGAGCTGATGGCACTTGAAAAGAATGAAACCTGGTCACTCACAAAATTGCCTCAAGGAAAAAAGGCCATAGGTTCTAAATGGGTCTACAAGGTCAAGAGAATCCGGATGGGACAATTGACAAGTTCAAAGCTCGTTTGGTGGCAAAAGGTTATTTACAAAAGGAAGGTATTGACTTTATAGATAGCTTCTCACCAGTAGCAAAACTGGTTTCAGTAAGATTGATAATAGCCTTGGCCACTCAGCAGCACTGGGAGTTGCATCATATAGATATTAATAATGCTTTCCTTCATGGATTTTTGGACGAGGAAGTTTACATGTTACCACCTAAGGGATATGATAAGGCTAAGCAAGGAGAGGTTTGTTTGTTGAAAAAGAGCCTTTATGGTTTGAAGCAGGCGTCTCGACAATGGAATATTGAGTTTTCTGAAAAACTCCTTGCTTATGGCTTTGTTCAATCTCCACACGATCACTGCCTTTTTATCAAGAAATCAGAGAACCGGTTTTTAGCCCTCCTTATCTATGTCGATGATGTTTTGATCACTGGTGATTCCTTGGCAGAGGTTGAGAAGCTTAAAACTTACCTCCATAACATTTTCACTATAAAGGACTTGGGACAGGCCAAATATTTCTTAGGTTTGGAAATTCTCAGAACAGCTGGTGGTACCTACTTAAGTCAGAGGAAATATATCTTGGACATTATTCATGATTTGGGACTTGAGGACTCCAAAAGCACAGTTACACCTCTACCTCAGGGGCTCAATCTCTCGGGTCTTTCTTCTCCTGTTTTTAATGATCCTGAATCCTATCGACGGTTGGTGGGCAGACTACTTTATTTGAATTTATCACGAGCTGATATTTGTTATGCCATCCAACAGCTTAGCCAATTTGTTCATGCACCCACACAAGGCCATTGGACTGCTGCTTTACACTTAGTGAAATATCTCAAAGGCTGTTCTTCCCTTAGCCTTTTCTATGCAGCTTCTCCATCTTCACTGTTGGAAGCCTTTTGTGACGCAGATTGGGGAAGTTGTATGTTGACCAGACGCTCGCTTACGGGTTACTGCATTTTTCTTGGACAGGCATTGATTTCGTGGAAAACAAAAAAGCAGAAGACGGTGTCCCGCTCATCCGCCGAGGCCGAATATCGAGCTATGGCGACTACCGTCTGTGAGCTCCAATGGCTGTCCTTTTTGGCTCATGATTTGTCGGTTCGACTTCATCTTCCCATTCCTCTTTGGTGTGACAATCGTGCGGCTTTGCACATCATTGCTAACCCGGTTTTCCACGAGCGTACCAAACATCTTGATATTGATTGTCACGTGGTTCGCAAACTATACAAGGACGGTTTCATTTTGCCGCAGCACGTGCCTTCTTCTTTTCAGCCGGCAGACCTGTTTACTAAATCTCTTGGCCGGTCCGATTCATCTCGGTTTCTCTGCAAGTTGGGCATGTGTCTCAATTCCCACATTCCCACTTGAAGGGGGGTGTTGAGATTATTAGAAGCGTGCTGCTATTTCTTTTTATGGTTTTAGCTATTGAGTCTTGTAAAAGCGTGTTTGCGCTTATTTTGTTCTCTTTTCTGCTTTTGGTCAGGCAACGTGTCACCATATAATTGGTCGTTGTGTGAACACGTTATATGTGTGGTTCTCGTGTTGTCGTCTTCAGATTTTCTGTACGAGCTTGAAGCTCTGAACATTTTTATGGTGATTTACTTCTGGAAATTTGTTGGTTAGAATGCGATTTGTCTATTTTTACTGATTCTACAGAGAGGGCCTTATTCAGTCTGGAGTATCGTATTATCGTTGGTGCATTTGTGGTATTTTGGACTCTCTTTAGAAATGTCTTCTCACTATATTCAGCCATATAGCTACTTGATTCGGCTATTACTCATAGTCATGGTTATCTATATTGTAAATAAGTGTTTGTGTTTATGAATATGTTTTCGAAAAATTATCTCTAATGCACAATGTAGTGTAACTGAAATATTATATACTTACCAAATTATTAAAATTTATAATATGTAGTAGAAAATTAATTAAATTATTAAATAATTTATAATTGGTAAGAATAATTCTTTCTCTTTTCTCATTGGTTAGCTAGAGTGTGGAGGAGAATGTGGATGAACCACATTCTTCTTTACATTGTAGACATTAATTATGTTCACATCATCACAACATTTATGATCACATAGTACATTGGAGGATGAAAAATTATGACATAACTAAATATGTTAATGTAAAATATAATTTACAACAACAATTTTTGAGCATAGGAAATGCTCTTAGACCCCGCTTTCTCTTTAATAAGAATCTATCAACGATAGCATTTTTAGTACATGTCCTATTTTCTATTAGGAAGATAT